TGTGATTTACAATTTATCCCAATTGTATATGGAAAAAATTATAGGCCAAGAAAAAAGATTAAAAAAAAAAAAAAAAAAAAAAAAAAAAAACTTTTACCACTTCTCTACATGTACACGTTCACACCATAATCTTGTCATATTTTCAATATTTAGATTAGAATGAGGAAAAAAAAGGCCTCATTTTCTTTAAATATTTATTGAACAGTGATGGGTGAGTGAAGTACACATATCAAACATGCCAATTTAACTCATAGTAACACCACAATATTCACAAGTTGAACACATTAGTTATATGTTTGTGGGATACTTTTGCATGTGAAATGAGAACACAACATCAAATATTGTATTATATAAGGCTGAAGAGTTTTGAGATGAGATGAAATCGTAAACATACCTTGACCATCATCCTTCTCTGACTTTTTCTTCTAGATTACGATCATCCAGTTCCTCTTTTTTAATCCGGAATCTTTACTGACTTTGTACAAACTCCAGTAACACAGATCACCTCTGTAAAGCGACTAAGCGAGACAGAACCTAATATATATAACGCACGTTTTAACTTCAAGTAACAGAAAGTCTTGAGAGAGAGATTAATTTTGTGGCGTTGTGACAGTCTGAATGTAAGCTAATGGATAACAAATCTAATATTTGCTAATGAGATATGTTTTTTTTTTTTTATAAAATCAAATGTTACTTACTCTAACTTTAATCTTCAAGCAGTTTATCCAGAACTTCTTCTAACTTGCCCATAGTCCTATGACTCCATAACCTTGGTACTCATGGCTTGGTAACTCTTGCTAACTCTTGTTCTTCTTTCTTTTACTCCTTCCTTTTTATCTCTATTCATCCTTATGTTAACCCAAATAAATCCCAACAAATTGCCCTCCAAACACTCTTTTCCTTGGTGATGGGAATCGACTACCTTTCTTTGGGGCGCTCACTGACTGCTTGCTCAACTTGGTGGCACTGGTGGGATCACTTCCTGGGTGACTGGCCACGCAGAAGGGGAAGAGATCACTGACGTCCGCGGTATCCCTCCAGTCCAACTTCCGTCCAGCGTTTTCCAAAACTACGGAGAGGCAGAAGAGGATGACCCATACCGCTACTACCAGCCCAATTACCCAGCTCCTCAACCCGTCTCGCCTGATGACCCCGCGCTGGCGCTGGACGATGTCGAGCTGAGGTCCCCCGGCGTGTACCGCAGCAAACGGAGCACAAAGGCGGAAGAGGAGCAAGCCGGGACAAAGAGGAGAATAAAGAGAGGAGTGAAGAATCTTCCTAAACTAACTAACTGAGAGGAGGAAGCTGGAGGACAGAGGGACGCTTGCTCTTTGTGATTGGAAGGCTTGGAGCCATTATGAACTAATCAACAAGTGCCTGATGTAGGGGGTTTCTTATGGACATTGGAGATGGAACGGGAGGGGTAATGAGGTTGGGAAAACTTAACTCATCTATGCTATTGAATTAACTTCAACAGAACAGATTTATTTAGCTTTATTCATTTTGTTTAGGTCAAGCAAAGTGCTCAGAAAGGTACTGAACTTTTGTTCATAGTACCCAAAAACTGTCAGTATTCAATTTATCGATTTGTTTTCAGGTCTTTCGGTTTTTCAGCTGGTTGTTTAAGTGCCTCCTAGTGTTTTTTCTGGTACTTTGATGGTAAAGTAAAGTATCTTTTGTTTGAAGGTCTCTTTTGATGTCTGTTAGCCATGGAACGATTTGCTTGAGCCTTCCATTTGTTTATTTAACCAGTGAACATGTAAAATGGTTTTACAGTGCAACATTTCCTGTAATCCTTTCTTTTGGCCATGTTTGCATCAAGCTGTGTGATTTACACCCCACCCCTCTGTTTTGAAGGCACGTACAAATTGCAGCCAGGGATTTTTCCATCTTCACAACTGGTATTTGTGGAGTTTTGCATGTTTTTATTTCATTTTAACATGTGATGTATTCATTTCTGACCTGATAAAGCCACAGATACACCTAACCTACATATCAAGATGGTTTTATGAATGCTTATTGATATAATATTAAGCTAATACATGTATGTTTGAGAAGGTTGATTAAACTAAAACTTTATAAATCCATAGATAATGTGGGCAAAAAACAGACAGACTGCTGTTTCTCACCTGTTGCCTTTTAATTTTACCAGTTAATTTTTTTTCAACATTTCCTGTTTGTATTTGTAATCAGTTAGCCATCTGTTCCAGAGAAAATACTCTACATCCATTTCTTTTTTTTAATTTTAGGTCAGCTTTAGAACATAAATGAGTAAAAATAAATTAAGCACACTAATTCCATATGCATGATTGGTTTATTATCTTAGTTTTCATGCTGTACCTTTTTTTTTGACTCCCGTTTTCCTTGTCGGTGTGATTAAATTATATCCAATCACATTTTCAATTTTGTAAATGTTTCCTCCATTTGGTTTTTTTCTGAAGCCTTTGGTCTGTTACTGCAGCATCTGATCAGAATGTTTAAAACTAAAAAAAAAAAAAAAAAAAAAAAAAAGGAAGAAATTTTTTTTTTCTTGGGTGTTGTTTTTTTCAAACAAAAAAAACGA